GAGTCTAACTGAGCCGTGTTGTCGTGGTTGGCGTTGAACTTTAAACTCACACACAGGGAAATGTTACGGGATACGTATCGTTCATCTGAATTAGGATAAATTCCATAGTGAGGGTAGCTTGACGGTGTCGAGGTGTTCACAGTTTATTCATTCGATAAACAACATCAGTCCGCCCGTTCGCACATATCAACATGTAGCTCCTGTGGGAACATCAGCGATATTAAGTACACTGTTGGAACAATCATCATATGTTGTCAATGTACAATTTATTATCAACTCAGACCGTTAGGATTGTCATATCATCACTTAAGGATGCAGATAACGACGAGCATAGTAGATTGTCATCACAGTTTTTATTATTAGCCTCAGTCCGCCCGTTCGCACTTATCAGCATAAACCTCCCGAGGGAACTTATATGAAGGTACACAATGAGAACAATCATCATAGGCTGGCATTAACGTTGGAATATTGCCAAGTATTATCCACAAGATATATTGAACACCTCATGGGTCTTCATATGGCGATAACTCTCACACGACGGTCTAAGACCGATGCTTACGTGACGATGACCATAACGTCAGGTAAGTCTGCACGCACCGTGTTTGCTACGGCTGCGGAGAAGCCTCAGAGCCCAGTGCTGGAAAATATGATTTCATAGCAAACTTTTGTAGTCGCTCATTAATCTGAATGTCATTATGGAATTATCATCATAGGCGTCTATTATTGAATCTCTCAGAGTAACTATGACATGTGTTATTAAAGTGGTCATCGAAGTGGACCGTGCAGAATGCACTAAGTGCCACTGATACCTCAAAATAATATATCATCATGGAGTAGCGCCCTACGCCCCCTGTATTGATACACTATTTTGAAGTAGTAAGACAGTAAGCAAGGAGACAGCTGTGGTTGTTATTGTTGTAGTAGACCGTACTGAACTCCAGTGTTCTCCTTAGAACTCTTGCCAGTGCGAGACTGCTTCTGCTTGGGCATCTTAGCGGCGAC